TTCTTTTTTTTTTTTTTTATTTACTAAAGTGTTTGTCAGTTATTCGTTCAGTGGCGCTCCTCATTTCTACCGTTATTTTTTCTTCTTTTGATGTGAAGATCCATCGAGAGTGAGAGTTGGGAGGTGTGTAGGGTGAGTGTTTGGGATGGAGAATTTACGCTCCTTAGTGACAGTAATGGGGCTGGTAGATGTGCGTTCTGAGAAAAAGTCCGTATCTCAGCTCTGTCCCTCAGCTTTGTTTGAGCCCAGCCGGTTTGTTCCCTGACGTCCTGTAAAATGTATCGAAACCCTTGTTTAGGAAGCACTTCGTGTCATTATTTTGAGTTCTGCTGTTTTGATATCGAAATGGACTTGCTTCACTGTCATCCATATATGACTCCATCTGGCTCTTTTTCTTACGTAGTAATATTTGCTTGAACAGCTTTTAAATTCTTGGCCAGTGGATACCAGCTCCAGTTGGAACCAAATTACACATTTTTTTTTTACTTTGTTATTAGACCCAATGGTATTCCTGAAATAACCTGTTTTAAAGTTCCAGTTTAATGGTGCTTAGCTGAAATTTTATGTTTCTAGTTTTTTAAATAGGGGAAATGTAAGTAAACTGTAATTAGAACTTGCTGAAGCCACGGTTTACTGTATCACTTAAAAACGGTATATCACTTAAGGTCTATATATTTTGGGGAAATTACCCCACTGTGCTTTTTTAGGATTCAGAGAGAGCCCATTGGTAGAACATTCTAAAACCATATGCATGGGATTTTATTTTCTGTTTCTACGTGCCTATTTTAGGCCCACCTGACATTTCGTTTTAGAGTCATTGTTTGAGCCTGTTTTATCAAAAATTCTCCTAGCATAGTGTCTGTCTCATACTCTTTACCCATCGACACAATATCTGGATTCCTCTCCCTGTCTGTAGATATGCATCACACCTGCCCAGGATCACACAGATGCTAGGTGCCAGCTTCCCTTACTCTGAGATGGTTATCCCAAAGCAGTGCTAGATTAAACTTAAAAACAGTACCATTGCCGCACAGAAGTGGAATTCAAGAGTAAAGACTACTGTTGGAATTATGTAACTGGCCATTGAGGTCTCTGTAGTATCGAGTGCGAAAATGCTCTCTAAAGGACAAGTTGTGTCTCACCCAAGTGATAAAAGGCACGGTTAAAACAGATCATACTTTTCTATTTTTATTGTGGTCAAAAACACCTAAAACAAAATTTGCCACCTTAATCATTTTAAGTGTAACATTCACTTAATGTTGAGTGCTAAGTACATTTACATGGTCGTGAAAGGGGGGCATGCATTCTCATATTGCTTATATTTTATAGACATCAGTGATGGCCTTTTTTCCTGAATTTCTTGGGTGTTAGTTTCTGATTTGGGGGTCATATTTGGAGACAAGTCTAACATTTTTCCTCTTAGTGCAACATAAATAGAATTTGCAGCTTCTGCTGCCAGAGCCTCTATGTGCAATAAATTGTTGGCTTGGTTAAGTGACTGTAATGTTATGTCATTAATACATTGATTTTGGCCCCCTCAACTTAGTAAGCTTTTCCACCGCAATTAATTGCACTAAAAACAAGAATCCTGGCATTCGCAAGCATTCAGTGACAGGCATCAGTTTTCATTAGTCTGATGTTTACCTCTCAGCCCCTCCACGGGGGGTTCTAGAACTTTGGATTGTGCTTTCCGCGCATTTAAGGGCCACAGAGTAAGTTTTGAGTGTGGTTACATAAGCCACACTGGACTTGTTAATAAATAAGGCATTCTAATTTACATCATTCATTATTTAACACAACTTGCAAGCAGCAGTTGAAAACGCACTGTCTTCCCAGTGAAGGTACTTACAGAATTCACCCCAGCAAGACAATGTGGAGCCTTCTTAGTTTCCTATCTTCAATCTCTGCGTTAAGGAGGTTTTTCTTACATTGGGTAAAACAATTGAAAAGTGCCTTGACCCTCCTGACCCTACTTTCTCTCCCTCCACCCCCCCCATCACCTCTCATTGACTATACAGGAAAATGTGTTTGATTTTTTTTTTCTTCTCCGAAAAGTGATATTTCCTTATGGGAATCCAGAGTACTCGAGTGAAGGGAAGGGCCTGGGTTATGTGTTATTACAAGCAAGTAATGGGAAGTTGAGATAATGTGGTCACAGTTCCGCAGAGCTGAGTTTAGTTCTGTTTAAAATCTTTCACTGTTTCTATCCCATAAACCTCTGTTTGTGTCTGCTTCAATATTCCCTTGTAAAGACGTTTTTCTAAGCTGAAAAGTTGGCTGGACAGCTAAGAATTGAGGTCTCTTTCTCCCTAGGAACATTCTGTATGATCTCTTTGACTATATCTGGGTCGTCAGAGTATAAAACCTAGAGTTTTTGTTCAGCTGGGGAAGGGGAATTCCTTTCTTTTTTTTGTTCTTTTCCTTTCTGTATGTTTCTGTTTCTGTTTTTGTTTTTGATTTTTTTTTTTTTTTTTTTTTTTTTTTTTTGGCCTTTGGTACGAAGCAAGTGCCACATTTTAACTCATTGCTCATCTTGGCTGTTAGGGAAAGAAACACTATTAAACCACTATTGAGTGCCACACGCTGACATTCAACCCTCCAGACTAACTTACCACTTCTCTAGAGAGCTCCTTGTGGCTTCAAACACCATAGGGTGGAATGCGGCATTGAACCTGCTGCCCCTTGGTGCGATGCCAAATTCTGGTTCCTCTTGATGTTTATAAATCCACTGGATGATTTTTTGGGAGAGATCATTTAGAAGGGCACATGTTTTCCTCATTTGGTATGTGTGAGAGAGAGAAAGGCAGAGGAAAAAACTGAACCTTGGGTTAATAGCCGATTGACCATTTTCATAATCTACTTGGTCTAACTGGTTTAAAACACAAATCCCACCCCCAGGTGGCAGGGGTCTGAGCCCTGCAGTAGCCTGATAATTTCCACCCTACATTTGATTGCTGATCGATCTCCATTAAAGAAGGCAAAGATCTCACATAATCAGGGTGCCTTCTTACCACTTTGGTCTCTGGGCTGTCAAAGGGACTGGGGAGTCAGTAAATATTGATCTGGAAGATGAAGGAGTGAGTGCTTGTGAGGGTTATAAACCTGGGAAGAAAAGTCATGCATAGGTACTGAGTTAACGGGTTTGTTTGTTTGTTTATTTAAAGACCCGGATATCACAGAGAGTTGGAGTCAGCAGTGACCTGATCTTGAAGCAGCCCCTTACTATCTGGGCATGAGCCTGTCAGATGTAAACTGAAGGTTTTGGATTCAGTGCTCAGACAAGTGTCTCCTGGCCCTGAAGTTCATGAAGCTTCAGTGGCAGAGATAATGTGGTTTATACATCGGTTATGAAGTGAAGGGTCATGTGAGAATCTGATGGCCTTTGGTGACACTGTCACATGTGCGTGTGTTGGTGTCTGCTCTCAATTCCCCAAAGCATGTCTCTTCAAATGTGACCCGCTAGTAAGACTGGTGGCACGTTAGTGCTGGGCTGCTGAGTCCAAGGTCACACACAGGGTCACTCAGAATTGGTACCACAGAAGGAGAAGGGTCCCAGGAATGCTCTGCTCTGGCGCTCTCAGCACAAACCAAGCCAGTGAAGAGTCTAAGGCCATGATATGTTAAAGACATCGTGGGTCCGGAAGCTCCTTCCCCCAGCGTCCAAAGGAAGTGCCATGGCCTTTACTTTGGTGGACCTCCCTTCTCTTCTGCACCCTTGATTGAACCTAACCCCAGCCCACCATTTGAGAAAGTGTCAGAGATGTGAAGAGAAGCATAGTCTAGCCAAGTCTGTGCAAAGCTGTCTCTACTAGAGACAGAGCAATTAAAAAGTGTGTGAGCTGTCGATCCCAAAGCAATGGCCTCATCTTCACATGGGAAGAAATGCATTTTCTGTTTAGATGACTGTGTTTTGTTTTTGTTTTTTAAATTTCGAGCCTTCCTCATCTGTAAGCAATTCATACATGAAAGTCCAGCTGCAGAGAAGAGCCTTCATGAA